ATTGGGGCAATCCTCTGTGTTGGGTTCCAGCATGCTATATGGTCTGCTGTTTTGGTCCAAACTGCTGTACTTTCAACTCACCTCCTTGGAAAGTTAGCAGAAAATTGTTCAGGTCCTTGAGTCCTTGCACCCATGTGTGAGACCTGAAAGAAGCTCCTATCTCGAGATCAACTCAGTTCTAATCGTTATGTCCATTTGGACAGTAAACTAATAAATGGAACATCTTTCTTTCTGTCTTGTGCAAATCTTTCTTTCAAAAAAAAAGCTTTAAAAAAGTAACAAAAATACATCCAGAATGTAAAGTAAAAACTAAAACTTAGTTTGAGAACAACATATTTCTATGTGTAGAAAATCCAAAGTAACACACATACAACTGAGCTAATAAATGAATTCATCAAATTAACCAGAGACACTGTATTGTGCAAAAAGCAATTGTATGTCTATATGCTAGGAACAAACAATTAAGAAAATAATTCTATTTACAATAGCATAAAAAATCAATTCTTTTCCACAGTAATTCAAAAGCTAACCTTAAAATTTATATGAAAGCACAAAAATATTTTTGGAGGACAGCCAAATTAGTTGATGTACATTTGCTGATTTTAAACTTGTAAGGTAAGCTACAATAAAGAAGTAATGTTGTGATGCTATGTTAAGAAAAAGAGCTGAATTGAGAGCCCTGAAAATTAACCTTTAGGAGATGGGATAATCTTCTCAATAAGTAGTGCTAGGTGATTGATTATAGTACCATGTGAAATATAAATGAATATGCATGACACTAGGAATATGGGGAAATGTTACTGTAGGTTCTTAACTCACACCATGAATAGAATTAAGTAATATTAACCATGATCCTAAATGTAAGAGCCAATATGATAAAACTACTAGAATAAATGATAGCAGAAAAATGTTCATAGCCTTAGATTAGATACTATTCTTAAATATTTCAAAGTTTGATTTTTCAAGAAAATTCAGATAACTGGATTTTATTGAAATTATAAAGGTTTCTACTTTAAAAGATACCGTTAAAGGAAGGAAATGATACACATTATAGCAGCAGAAAATACCTGTGAAATTTTTATTTGCTAATGATAATCCAGTAAGGAATTTAATTTTTAATATGTAAAAGTTTCCTTAATTCTTAAACAGACCGAGCCCATTAAAATTTGGCAAATATTTGAATAGATGTTTCATTAAGAAAAGAATGGCTAGTAAGCACATGGAGAGATGCCCAACCTCATCAGTTCTTAGGTCAAAGTAAATGAAAACCTTGAGATATTGCTTCATAGTCTTTGGAATGAAAACTATAAAAAAAAAAAAAAGACATTTACCAGTTTTGGTGAAGATGTGGGAAATTTGGGGCTAGTGGGATGGCTTCATGAACTAATCCTCTGCCTGCAAGCACCAGCATCGTATATGGGCACCTGTTTGTGTTCCAGCTGTTCCACTTCCTAGCCAGCACCCTATGTATGACCTGATAAAAGTAGTGGAGGATGGTTCAAGGCCTTTGGACCCTGCACCTGCGTTGGACACAGGGAAGAGCTCCTGGCTTTGGATCAGGTGGAAGAAATCTGTGTGTGTGTGTGTGTGTGTGTGTGTGTGTGTGTGTGTGTGTGTGTACGCACGTGTGCACAAGTGTTTCAAGTAAAAATAAATATGTAAATACATATACAAATCTTTAAAAAGGGAAAATATTTTTTAAAATAATGAAAATATTACAATTAGCCTTCCATACTGGACACAATCAAGCTTGTCCCTTTTTAAAATCAAAACTGAACTGTGTAAAATGAATAGATCACAGGGAGGTGAATGAACTCTCAGAAACTGTCTGAACAAGATACCATCGGGCCTGAACAGTTGGGAGAGCATTAAGAGAAGTGCCTGAATTAACATACACCTCCTAACTGGAGTGCGGTTTTGTTCTTTCCTTGATGTTCTATGACCTGGGGATATCTAACACTCCTATCTCTGTTGGATTTTAAATGGTGGAGTGTGGTCAGAACAGCCCTTTGTTCCTAGTCAATGTTAAGATCTGGAATTCCTCACCCACCTTCAGAGAGTTTGGGAGGATTTTTTTCCCCTTTTCAAATTGTGAGCTTTCTTTGTGGCCTTCTGACTTACAGGACAGATTACTGAAATGTAATGCATTTGCTATCAGAATCTTTAACCCATTCAGAAGACTACTCTTTTGGCTGAAAGACCTCTGCTGAGAGAAGCAGTCTTACAAGCTTTGTAATTTACATAGATTATGGAGCTGTTTCTCTGTCCATCACTGGATATTGGCTGTCACCTATAAAGTTTTAAATAGTTTTTTTTTTTCCTGATTAAAGTTGTCTGAGGCCAGCTGTTCATTTTAGTAATGATTGTGATTGATCTGTGGGATTAAAAAAATTAGCAGATTTGGGAACCTGGAATGTGAGGACTAAATTTTTACTGATGGTGCATACTTTCCAAATCTACTATTTTAAGCATGAATTCTGTGCAGTTATAATGTGAAAATAAATCACAACCAGGAAACTGAAAGGTAAACAATAGCACCCCAAAATAAAAATCGTAACTTCATACTACTGTTTCATCTTAATAGACATGCCCTCAGAATAGTTCACTTCTTTGATGACTAACCTAAAAAGCAATTTTTACCCAATACTAAACCCGATTCCCTAGGGACAGAAGTAATGATTTGTTCAGGAGGCAGACATGAAGAGGAGCAGTAATCATATCAAAGACAACTGGTCCAACTTCCAGGTCCATCTTTGGGCCAAGATACGTAGTCGCCAACAGTGAATTGGCGACTGTGTTTCTTGAGTCCTGGCGCAAAGCAAGATCCATCTGTTTTGCCCAGCCGTTTGCCTGAGTGCCACAAAATGGTCCTGTTATTAGTCTTATTTGTGGTCCTGTTTGAGGTTAGGTATAATGTAAATAAACTTTATTCCTCTTTGGGATGAATGCAGGATAGAAGTTAAAAGCGGTGGTGTTGGTAATGGTGAGTGATGTTGTGTCTCCATTTTCTCAATTTCTCTGTTTTCTTTGGATTAGGAAACAGACATTTAAGAATGAGTTTGTCATCTGGAAGGTTAGTTGTGACCAAGTTTTCCCTCAACAGGATACAAGATGTTATTTTTGAGCTTCATTACCCTCACCAAAGGGGAAAAAAAACGAATAGAGGGAGTGGGGCGGGGGGAATGAAGGAAAAAACTGAAACTAGGAAAGAATGGGAGAGAAGAAAAAGGTCAGTGAGAAGGGAGGAAGATATAAAGGGAGGGGGAAATGTAATGAAATAGTTTGCTCATTAAATTGCCTTTATTGTTTGGAACTGATAGTTCAGTTCACTCAACATCTGGTGAATTGAGAAAAGATAAACTGAACTGAGCTGCCAGTTGTCAGTTAAAGAGTTTGTATACCAGTATTCAACCTAGTTACTGTTACCTTCTCATGCCTGGACAGTGAATCAATTCCTTTAACCATACCATATTGATGAATAAAACGCACTAATTGGTGATTCTGATTTAACCAGGAGGTGGGCAGTTTTTACATTTTTGAATCATTTATCAGTGATTATTGTTATTCCATATAATTTTTTAGCTCAAGTTATTTTTGTCAGTTTCTTTTATGAATGCTTTGTTGCCTTATAAGGAAATGTGTGCACTCCCATCTTTTCATTCAGTTGTCCCTGGTGACGCCTCCATAATTTCTGTCTTTACACTGGTGAATTTTTAGTCTAATTCATGCATGTGAGAAGCAGGGGAAAAGTTTAGTTAGTCAATGTTAGTGATTTTAAAAAATCGAATCCCATTCATGGGTAGATTTAGTGTGAAGCTGAGCAAGTTTGCATTTAAAATCTACTTACATCAAATAGACACGTTACTCAAAATATTCTTCCATATATTTCAAAGAAAGAAGGAAGCAGTATTCAAAGGTCTAACCTGCTGTATTTCCTGTTAATAAGTGCTGTTTCAGGGGTGATTTATGATTATGGTCTCATAAGTAGGAAGATTAAAATGCTAGTATACATTATTTTTAAAATGGGCATCAAATACCACATATCATGCTATAAATATGTGAAAGTAAATACTGTCATGCTGAAAAGAAGATAAGCATTTTATCTCAATGTTACATTTTTAAAAAATGAATTGTTTTCTGAATCCTATCATGTCAGTTCTTTGAAACTTAAAAATAGGAATGACTCTATCTGCTGTATATTTTTTTTCTGTGAAACCATTCTTATCTATGGAGTGTGTTGTTTGTAAAAGAAATAATATGGCATTTTAATAACAAATGATATAGTTATATATCCTAATGCCTGGACTCTCAATTTGAAGCTAGAAATTACATGTTTAAAAATAACCACCACAGGTTCATTTATTTGTACCAGGAGATCTGGTTCCTACACCTGTGGCTGCATGTGTCAGCATGTACAATGTGATATGAAATGGGGCACATGGAATCCATACTTCACTGCAGTGACTACTATGTTTTGCTCAGTTACCTCAGCTTCACTGCCTGCCCCCCTACCAAGACATTTATTTGAAAGTAGTAGAGCTGGCCCTTTTTTTCTAATTCTGTTTGAAGTTATAATTTTTCCTTGGCGTATGTGTTTAGATCTATAGATGTTTTACTTTATTCTCCAAATGTAAAATTTTATGCAATCTTTATGTTGTAAAATTGCTATGGAAGAGGAGGGTTTTTTTTAGGACACTTTATAGCTAAAATTCAGAAACAGTGAGATTTAGTCATATCATTTGAAGTCCTTAACATGCAGGCATATTTTGTTTTTCAAAATTGCTTTCTTTTCCTCTTTAGATTCTTTTCTTTTCATTAAAACACTACTCTTGGAAGAGCTTTATTTATTTATTTTTCCCTTAACAGGGGGTGGGAGGGGGGAGCCATGCTTGACTGATAATGCATTGCTTTGGATGGTGAAACATTATGAAAGTTTAATTTTTAATTAAATCTGAAATACCAATTATAACTGAAAGAGATTTTAACCTGTTTCTTTTCAGACTGCCTGAAGTTACACTGAAAGACCGAAATCACAGCACCTTAAAAACAAAAGATTGAGCTGCACTGTGTTGTGTAAGTTGAATCTTCCTGAACCTTCCTCTCTGTTTTTGTGGCCAATCCATTAATGGAGAAAAATATTAAAAGCACAGTCACCAGACATGAGTAAAAATGTGAATTACATGTGAATGTGAATGTCCTTGAAGGAGTACATGTTTAAATGCTTTCTTCCTTTTTTTAAAAAAAAAGAAGAAATTGTTGGACTCAATAATCAGTATTTCTTCAACTAAGAGCAATTGTGAGTTTTTTTTTCTTTTTTTGCTGGTTTGAATTTTATTTGGGAGGGTATCACACCCCGTGATCAGCACAGTAACATTCCCTGTGTTTCCAAAAAAAAAGAAAAATCTTGCTGCTTGCTTTTGTACCAATTACACTGAAGGTGAAGGAAGATTTCTCAGGGAATCAAAGTAGATTCCATTTTCCTTTGCGATGTCATTAGAAATTTTAGCCTTTGTGACAATAGAAATAGAAAGTTCATGATGACATCACAAGATTCTGTTGCCTTGAGGACTTTGGGCAAAACTCAGTGAAATGCATAATTCGCTTGTGTGCGTGTGTTTCCCATTCTGCTATGAAGCAGTCAAAATAGCACATCTTATGTCTTCCCGTGAGCTACAAGGCTGTCTCTCAGAGCCCCATTGTTCCATAAATGCATGTCAGAGTCTACCACAGTCTGGTCTACCCTTATTTAGCTGCTGTTTTGTCAATGTACTTGGAAGAACAATTAACATTTGGGATTTCAATGTCTGAATAACAGGCAGTGAATAGAACCCGAGTGTAGAAAAGATTTTGACACCCGGAGTAAGAAAACAGAAGTTTATAGTTGGTAGAGGAAAAAAGAAAAGCATTTATTGTGAAATACTACATGGAAAGTCAATCTTTTTTCTTTTTTAAATATAATTTTAGGTCAAAACATACATTTTTGGTAATGCAATCCAGAAGCTTATGACGGTTTCCTAAGTTTTGCAGTTTAATTGTTGCAAGGTCTTTCAGTAGAGGATCTTAAAGACGCTTACACTTCCCTTGTCGGGCTGCCAGAGGCAGGGTATACTGCGTCACGGCTTTCAGTGTCACAGTCTGTCCAACTGAGTGCACTAAAAGTGGTTCAGACAATCTCTTCAATTTTCACTTCGGTTCACTGCACTCTTTCATTATTGACTGTAGTTCTGGCATGTTGACTGTAGACAGTCCTGCAGTTGTTTAAATGTCTCTCTGCCTTTTGTCTGAATTCCTGTTAAGTGCATTTTTTCCTGAGGAATGATGAAGGGATAGGACAAGACCTCCTCACTGTAGGGGGGCCTGGGGAAACAGAGGGAACTTTGGCGGCTTATGTATGTTGCCAGCTGAGCGCACTGCCTGGTTGGCATAGTGAATAAATGATAGTGATTGTTACCTTTGTCATAACCACAACAGGTCAGACCCACAGATTCTAAGGTCTCTAAAAGCAAGTCATTTTTAAAAAAATTTTCACAATCCTATTTTGGCACAATAATAGATAATCATGCAATAGCTGTTATCAGTATAATTACAAATCTAAAAAACTTAATTTAGGATTTTTTATTTCAGAAAAAAAATGTTTATTGTAAGAAGTTGACTAAAGTTTTTGACAACTTTGATAAATTAAATAACGATAAAGTGATTTGCCGAAGACAAACTTGTGTTCATCTTAGGCCTCAGCCTCCCAATCTTCTGCTTCACTGGCTTAGCTCTGTGTTCCCCCAACCACAATGAGATGAACACATTCACATCATATCCTTTTTGCCTGTGAAATGGTCTTAAGTAGTTTTCCATTAGGTTGTATGTCAAATATTGCCTACATTGGCCTGAAAATTAAATTTACCCAACTCCAGGGCAGTAGAGCTCTGTCATTTCCGTATGTCTTCTTAACAAACAGTGGTCAAAAATAGAGTGGCGTAATAAGTTAATATTTACAAGAGTGACTGGGTCAAAAGATGTGACGGTTACTGGTTCCAGGGACAGGGGATTTGGGACATTATCATGAGCAGAATCTACTTTGAGTGCATAAAAAGCTGGGACCATGCTAAAAAGCGCTAAGATCACATAATTCTTTTTTATTTATATTTAAATTTTTAATTTATTTTTATTGGAAAGTTTGATATACAGAGAGAAGGAGAGATGAAGAACTTCTCTCTGCTGGCTCATTTCCCAAGTGGTTGCTATGGGCAGAGCTGAGCCGAGCCGAAGCCAGGAGTCAGACCCTTCTGGGTCTCCCATGCAGGTGCAGGCTCCCAAGGCTTTGGGCCGTCCTTGACTGCTTTCCCAGGCCACAAGCAGGGAGCTGGATGGGAAGCAGAACATCCTGAATAGGAACCAGCGCCTTTATGGGATCCCAGTGCATGCAAAATGAGGACTGTAGCCATTAGGCTACTGCGCAGGGCCCAAAACCACATAATTCTTAACACAGAACTACTTGACCTCTTCTAAGCTTATCTCCATAGTTGTTTTGCTTTGTTTTGCATAGAATTCACTGTCCCTCTTCTCTACACCACTTTCTAAAATTTATTTCCAAAAGGAATCCCTTCATTTTTATTAAATCAGCTTCTGGTGATGCAAATTAAGGCTCTCATAAAACTTGGCCTCTGAGGCAAAACTAAAATGATAGAATTTGGGTCTAGTGAATTGTGCTGTTATCATGTTGAATAACATTTAAGGACATCAAAGAAGTTTATGAAACCGCTTCACTCTTTTTTCAAGTTGAAGAAATTGAAGTGAAAGGGATTTAAGAGGAGAACATCATTAAGCACTACAGTTTAAAATGGATGGATATAAGAAATAATTTGCAATCATCTCATTTTGAAATAAGCAAATCAGGTCCAGGGTAGAGGATTTAGGATACACAGTTCATAACTGACTATCAACAAGGATCATCCTTAGGCATCCTGACCTGTGAGTAGATCCAAATGTAGACCCTGAGACTTCAATCTTCCCTAAATGGACAGGTCTGAGCAATGGTTCCTGAGGAACAAAGTACCTAGGACTCACTTGTTAAGATCTTTTGACCTGTATTCCCTGCTATCAGGTAGTCCAAAATTCATATTTAAAGAAGTGTTTTGAAATCCTTGATCATTATCAACAAAGGATTTTTCCACTCTTCCTGTACATTTTTATACAGTGCCTTTGATTGTTTATTTGGATGAGTTAATGTTCTTTTTTGATGATTTACAAGATGGACAGAAGATCATTAGAAACGTCGGTAGTTTAATTGGGCTTACAGGCATGATGAAGCCAGTAATCTGAGTAGAGCCAAAGTGACATGAATTCAGACTTCCCAAGAGTGTGGATCATGCATGGTGTCAGAATGTCACTGTAGCCAGGGGTCATTTCCATCAGAGAAAAATTGTTTCAAGTCTGATCAAATGAAAACCTTAATAATTTTAAATGAATTATTTGCCCTGATAATTTTTCATATTGCCTTTATTGAATTTTGTCATTTAGCAATACAAGCAGGCTAGAACTTTTCTATCATCACATCCAAACCTAAGTGATGAACACAGTTTAGTTTCTCCTTCAGTTTCATTTTGTTCATCTAGACCTTCCCTCTGTATATCATGAGAAAGTTCAAGTCACTGCAAAGTTAGTAGCGCTTTTTTGTGTTCCATTCACTAAGTCACAATGGTCTGCCCTTTAACAGCTTCAGGGAGGCATTAGTGTATGGAGAAGTAGGGGTGCTTGAGGATTTTGGAATGTTCTCTCTTCAAATTTCTTGCCTCTTTGTAAGCACAAATTAATACTTAGTCTCTGCTTCCTGCCACCAAAATAGATAAGCACATGAATAATATCTATGTCTTAGAGTGAAGCAATTCATTATCTGTTAAGGAAACACGTGAGTACTTCTTGTGGCCAGTGAGTTGAGAAGAATACATAAAGACAAACCTGAATGTACAGGAGGCTGGTTTTAGAAAATTTGAGTTGTAGCCTAGTGGTAAGCCTGTTGATGTATCATGAAGTCAATTCAAATAATCACCTGAATTATATCATAAAAATAAAAAAATTAGAAATACATAAGAAACAAATATTGATCAAGTAAATAATAAAAGAATAATTAATATTTACCTAAAAAGTTAATTATATACTTTTAGAGACTGGATCATAAGATAAATACATTTCTTACTAGGAATTATGACCCCAAAATACTAAAATAGCTGCTCAACTCATGTAATCCTAATTGACAGTATTATTTTCTTGCTTATGTTAGATGAGAAAGTAGTGGAATTAAGCAATTTATCCTAAATCAACCAAGGGGCAAATGATAAAGAAAGGATATGGTTATGTTGATCAATCTCCACAATAATTTGTTTTGACTACAATTCTTTTGGTATTGATAATTCACACATTTGTGTCTCTAGTATTGGTATCTCTCCAACACTATAGTCTTATATCTCTGCCGACTTTACTTAAATCAACAACTGAAAAATCACATTAGTTTCTGAGAATCAGTATCTAAAAGTTATGTTTACCATCCCAGTTAGCAGTCATCTTGCTCTTAACTACCCTGACTTTCTTTGTTCCCCAATTCTCCAAGACGTTCTCACTCAAAATCTGTCATCGTCATTTATTTCTTTTCCTTGATGTCAGTGAGTGACCTGGTCTTAGTAATTTTCATTTTATCCTTCTGCACTAATCAGTCTTTCACTTATCTTTCCTTAAAAATATCTCTGAATTGCAAGAGGCAGAAGGCAGTGAGATAAGTTCATCACAAAGATTGCTGCTCCATTAACCCCTGCAGCAAGAGCACTAAGACTGTGCTAACTCTTCTTCAGACAAAAGTTTCAGTAATTCTATATTGACTATCAGTTTCCAGTTAATATCTATGAATTCTAAAAATCTGGCTCTACCCCCTTCTGAATTCATCATTACCTTCTTTGTTTTATACAACATTAACTAAGATCTCATTCACTCATTCATCTTTATTCTGTTTCTACCATCTGTCATGTTCATAATTCTCTTTTTTCCATATGTACATCCAACTCATTGTACTACATCTACTTCAAGTG